AGCAAATTTAGCGGCTTAACTGTCAAGTGAACAAATATTAAAACTATTGTATATAATTGATATATTTTCAATAATTTATTTCGCAATTTTTCTAAAATATACTTCATATTTAACTATAAATATTTTATTAATTATAATTGACGAATACTTTTTTTTTATTACAATGAAATTTTTTCAAACCGTCACATATTGTAAGAAAATATATAAAAATTGTGTAACCTCAACTGCAAATTTCTCAAAATGATGGCGTGTAATGGAGCAATTATCGCTTATCGGAATCGTATTCAACATGTCAAAAAAAATGATGTAAAGTGACTAGTATCATTCCAGTGTTTTTCTTGTTGAACAGTGTTATCTCTCATTTGTCTTTGGGGATCTCTGTGTAAATATGTTACAAATGATCGACCACTATTATTGTGGAATTTAGGAAAATGATTATCGGGAACTTCATAAATGTTCCGTTAAATCTATACACATACTCTAACGCTTATTCAACTTTTATTATTATATGCGATATTTTTACGGTTCTTCTTGAACGCTTGTGTGGGATCACGATTTGCGATACTAATATCGGTATCAACGTATATGTATACAATTACACGCGTTACAAACTATTCAATTCACCGAGCAACAGTTCATAGAGTTCATGGTGTTTCATATATAAAAAGTGGTGAAAAAACGTTTTACACTCTCTCCTAAGCATAAGTTATACACATAATACGTCCATACAAGTTTGGTTTGCATAGGTTTAGGTTTCGATGGCTAGTGTTGAATAAGTGTATATAAGGTATGTATTTATATCGTCGTCGGCCGGACTTTTAAATTAAGTTTCAAACACTTTCGAAACCTTCTTTACGCTTTCTTTTTTAGGGGGAGATTATTATTTTTATACATTTTATTTTGCGTTAACGAGACTGTATGCGGGAAGGTATACGTTGCGAAAGCGTAGGATATATTAATTGACGATTAATAATTCTGACCGCAAAGCCAACAAATAATTATAAATATTGGGTAATTTAAATAAAATCGCGTCGTTAGCCACAGAATTCCGGCGGGCAATGCGTTTTTGATCAAAGGGGATCAAATCGATGCTACGATTACGAGAACGGCCTTTTATAAGATTGGCAGTATTGTACCAATACAATCGATTTAATGGAATACGATTTCATTTTTCATAAACTCTGTGTAAGTGTGTATATGTGTGCAATCGTCGGCATAATATATGCAGATTTGCAATGACGATAATAAACCATTATTATAAACAGCCGAATGAATATTTCATCTGAATTGGATATCGATGAAAGAAATATCCTCTTGTTCCATCATTTCATTCAAGTAATTTTCGTGCAACGTTAAAAAGTCTAATTGTCTCCGATGCAGTTATACGTTTTGTCCCGTTCAATCTGCAAAATTGTTGCAAAATACACATCTCAAACTGCAATTAAACTTTAATTAAATTTAACATTTTTATTGCAAGAGCTTTAAAGAGCAATAAAATATTGAAAAATATGTATATGCACGCGGAACAGTAGGATGGCAAACAGATTTCCACATTCTTATTTAAAAGAGAAATGATTGATCTTATTAACAATTCTCCGAAAAAGTTAAAAGCCATCCAATCGTGTATTTTCATTTTTAATAAGTGAAATTTATGACATATAGCAAATTTATCACATTACGTGTTTGCGTATTATTTATTATATATATATATATATACTTTTTTAAGCAATTTTTTTACAAATTCTTTGGTTTTGAAGCTAATTTTTTCACAAACAAAATTTTGATGGATACCCACCTTTTCCATAATTTGCATATTATACAAATTTTGATAGTAAAAATTTGAATTTTAGAGTGCTAAAATCGCTTAATTTTATCTAGATTGCATTTTTAATCGGCAAAATTCTAATCTAAAAATCTTGCAAAATTTAAATATGTCGAGAAGATATAAAAAAGGAGATGGCGTTAAATCGAATTTCTCTGATAAAATCGACTTGAAATTGGTCAAAGTAAATTCGCAAATGAAAAAAAATGCTGCGAAACTCTTCAAGAGAAATTTGCGACACCCGTTACATACATATATCAATGAATGGCGAATTTCGGAGGCGACACGATTGAATTGCAAAATACGAGCGCGTAAAAGACGATAAAAAGAGAAATAAAATCCAAAGGGATGCTAAAACGAATAAAAATATACGATAAGGTGTATCACATAAAAGCGCGAGTCTCGTTCCGTCTAAATCTAAAAAGTGTTTGCTACAAACGAAATACAAATAATCATCAATCGAAATCGTGTAGGCGATCGAATCCCAAATTACAATCTATGTAATTTCATTACAGCGTATCGTCGAGTAAATTTTTTTTACATTACACATGCAACTTACGATTGGTTTCTCTAAGGCTCTATAAAAGTGAATATTCTCGTCCGCCATTTTTCTTCCAATCGCATGTGAAGATTAGGTTATAAGTCGTCTATGCATATGTCAAAATGTCAATACGTCTTTCGATCTCGCAGTTAATTAAAAAGTTTATCTTAAATATCGCGTCTATTAAACCTAAAATAATTGTTACAGCAATCAACACATCGTGTTTTCATTGTCGCATAAAATATGGTGCTTCCAATATGCTTGGCTGCGTTCCCAGCAAACACAGTATATAAATGTTATATACTTAAGCATGTTACATGTAACGTATATGTTAATTGTAATTTCCCACTCATAGGTGTAACATTTTTAATATTACATATATTACATTGTAGTTATATTGCCATTATATCCCAAGATAGCACTGACTTATCAATACATCAATGTGCTATTTGGTATATAATTACAATATAACTACAATGTAATATATGTTATATTAAAATGTTACATCTATGAGTAGGAAATTACAACTAACATGGATGTTACATGTAACGTACACGTTATATTACCTGTTATATTCCGTTTTATTATAGCAATGTAACAATTATATATCGGTGTTTGCTGGGTTGCTATGAACGAACACCTATTTTGAGTTTAATAGACTCGATATTTAAGATAAATTTTTTAATTAACTGCGAGATCGAAAGACGTACAATGATAATGCGTATTGACATTTTGACATATGTATATACGACGTATAACCTAAATTTTACATGCGATTGGAAGAAAAATGGCGGACGAGAATACCTACTTTTATAGAGCTCCAATTTCTCGAACCAATAAAACAAATCATCCATGATCGAAGAACGATAATATTAATTAACAATTAATTATTAGGTTAGAAAGATATATTATTTACAAGATCATGATTTCATCACTGAACTATGTTTATAGATGATAGCATTCGATTTACAATCGATATCTGTATACGAACAACATAGTTCAGTCTTGTAACTTACAAATTTACAAACGCATGTAGGAAGATATCTGACAGGATTATATCAACAAAATTATATATATATATATACTCTAACGCTGCTTATCAATAATTATATGTATAACAATAATATGATATATGGAACGGAGATGTATAGATGAATATTAATTATTATATTTGGCTGCGATATGTTTCATTTTTCCTTTTTCTGTTTAATTCATTATTTAACAATTTATTTTTGTTTTTTTATCGCCATGGCTCGCGCGTTATTCCGATAATAATTTGATCCCAGAACACATGTCGATAGTTTATATAAATATACATTGTATCAATAATATTTCGTATAAAGGTATTTATAAATTTACAAGTACATCGCAATTTCTCTTTCTGCTTTTATTTATTTTTTTTGTGTTTTCTGCTGCATATTTTAACCGAGTTTGTATCGTCGTGCTTTGGCCGATGACGAATTAACGATTTTACCGATCTTCAAACCAAACGTGTTCGAAACAAACGTGGATAAATATATAAAATGAGTTAATTCCATCAGAGAAAGAGTCTCTAATTTTACAATATACATACACATACGAAATGATAAAAAGCAGCGTGACGTAAATAATAATATCGCGTTTCACGCACGTATAAAGTGAATATATTAAGCGTACATTTATCTTGTACAGACTGTCCCGGACGTTCCTGCGGCCCGAACGGGACATTGTGTAAACGTACTTGCAGATATGCGGCTATTGTGCATCTCGATTACCCGTAATGCGAGAGATTTATGGCTCTTTGGACGCGAGAGACAAACCCCGTTGCTATATTCGTCTCGACGAATATCTGCATAGATACTTTTAATGGAAGCTACTATCTCTGCTATTTCGCAAGTTACAAAATTCCGGATTTCATTAAACAAAAATTAACACAGTCAAATAAAAATGCGAGCATTATTTCGCTCTATTTCGGCAAAATTTGAATTTTATTATTAAATAATACGCGAATAAAAGTTAAATAAAATGCCAACATTATTTTTCTCTGTTTCGTGCAATTTTTTGAAATCTTTGAGTAAGAAGTTACTATTATTTTTAAAATAAATGTATTTTTTTTTTATTCAAATTTTCATATAGCACACGTTTAGTCAAAAGTTCTATGTTCCGATCAAAAAGAATTTTTCTTGCATATGTGTGTGTGTGTGTGTGTGTGTGTGTGTGTGTGTGTGTGTGTAAAAATCATGTTTGTGTGTGCAACAAACGCATTACATGACGCAGATTGTAAATTCATTTTTTATGAGAATATTGCAATTCTATATAAATTTATTATGGCAACTGATATCTCATAAAAATCGAATTTAGCGAATATAACACACTATCGATATATATACATATATATCTTGCTTACAAAACTGTATCTTATCATTGCATCTCCCCGAGAAGGCTAGAATAGGCTGGATTTTTATTAAATCAAGAGAAAGGTGAAAGGAGAGTTAAAGCAGTTCCTCGTTATCGTCCGAAGCACCGTACATTTGCGGCCTCCTGCTCAAAAGTCGTTGCTGCTGTTGAGCCTGTTGCTGTTGCTGCAATTGTTGCTGTTGCTGTTGCTGCTTTTGCTTTTGGAGGATCGCGATACTGGCGGCTTTATAGTTTATCGGCCCGTAAGATTTGTAGTCCACGTCCGCATAATCGAGATCCGAGAATTCCGGCTTGAAGGGCTGTATAAAACAGAAAAACGTGACGAATATCTCGGAACGAGAAAGAGTGGTCAATTTCTTTCTAGACGATACAAAATTCTGGAAGACGTCCTCTTTCGATTTTTAAACGTATTTTCTATACAAAATATAGAAATAAACATATCTTATTTGAAAATAATTTTTTTCGTACTGTATTACGTTTGTTATATTTGAAAGATTTTTATTTATATTTCTAATTGTATAAAGTAGATTGTTTTATATCTGATTTTATTTTAGAGAAAAATATATTCTATAAAATTATATAAAATTGTATTTTTTTATAGATATTTTATGAATTTTTAGAAAATTAAATTTTAAGTAAGGTAAAATAAAGTATTAAAAATATTTTATAAATTATTCTAAATAATTTAAGTATTTTTGAATAAATGTGACAAATTTTAGGATATAATTCTTTATCAAAAATTAAGAAGTTTTAAACATGTATTTCTAATCCCTCCTTGAGGAGTTACATTCCTCCAAAGGGGGAAGTAAAAATTAGATTTTTATTTTTTTTCTTGAAAATGATTGATTTTACGAAAAATAAAAGAGATATAAAAGTTTCCAATGGAATCAAATTCTCTAACGCATATTTTTAAATGATCACATTCTGATCCATAAAAAAAAAATAAATCGAATAGAGATTGTTAGTTTCATCCTCTTATAACGATATGAGAAGATTAAAAAAATATTATGAGAAGTATCCTTTTTACTAGTTATTTTTTTATTTTTTATTTATACTTTCATTTTTATAACTTATCCAAAATTTATGAAAAAAATTAAAAACCTAATTTTCATCTTCCTCTTCGGAAAAGTATGTAACTCCTCAGGAAGGGATATAAGAGTTCGTATAAAAAATCTCTCTTAATTATCGACAAAGAATCATTTCCTAAAATTTTAGCATTTATTTAGAAACATCCTGATATAGATATATATATAATACATTTTATAAAATTATAAAATACACCGATTTAAACAATTTAGAATAATTTAGATATTTAAATAATTGGAAAGAGATATTTCATAAATTGTTATAAAATCTCAAATAAAGCAAAATGAGACGTCTTTTTGATTTTTGTATTGTTTGGATTCCAATTGTGTCTCACGGAGAAAGAGAGATTACGCACACAATAGTCTCTACTAGTGGACTGTTCGCGTAAAGTTTCACGTAACAGATCCCTGCTTGCGCAAGCGTTCGACAAATGATCTAGGTGTACCATTTCGGGCAGTAAAGCTTTCTCGTTTGTGATCGATGTCTGTCAATTAGACAACGACGTGCCCAGAGCGCGGTATATAGTACACATGAGCCGAGGAGAGTGGTCTCATTGTGAAGGGCCGAGAGATTTACACAAACGAGCTATTGAACCGTTAAACTAGCTATGATCGATAGTCAATCCGTTTATCGAGCTCGTTAATTGTTGTTAAGATTAAATATAGCATTGATGAGTGTTATCGCATGCTGCATGTTATGGACACTCTACAAGTATTAAACTGCTATGTGTGTAATTCGGGATCGAGAGGATTGTGTCGTTTTAATTATTACATTGATTCGAAGCTTTTACTGTTGCACGCAGCAATATAATAAATGTCGGTAAAATTGACAATCGCATGAACTCGTATCATATACGCGTAAAATAGGAATATTGACGAAAATTTTGGACTGTCATTTTTTTTTCACGATTAACTTAAAATTGTGCGATTTGTGGTGCTATTAGAAGTCGATATTGCAGTACTATTTTAATAGACAACCTGAAAATTTTTTCTTTCTCTCTTTCTTTCTACACATATAAAATATACCAATTGTATACACGCTTCTGTGACGGGATAGAAGAAATTTTCTAACATACAGAGGCTATATGCAAGCAAAAGTTCGAGGTTGTTTTTTTGCAGGATAACAGCGTGTGAATAATAAAAAATGTATGTTCCATAAGAGATTGAATCGTTGTGCGAAAAAAGCGAATTCTGTCTCCCCTTGCGAATGGACATTCCGTATTTATGATGGTGCATTCGATTTACGTTATGCGTGTAAGCGGCGTGACATACTCCGTACAATGTACCTACAGGACGCTTGTCGGACGCCAAATTGTCCTAGTAAATGTACGTATCGCTCTTTGTCAGCTGACCCTCCTACGAACAAACATTGAGAGATATACAATTGATATGATACGCATGCAGCAATTTCTTCTCGTTGTTCGTTGCTTCGTCTCTCTTGTGTCATACGCCAGGATATATACAGGGTATTTTTAAATAAGTGCGAAAAACTTTAGGAAATGATTCTTTGTCGAAAATAAACGGGGTTTTCATATAAACACATCCTCCTCCCTATATCTTTCCTTGAAGTAAAAATTATATTTAAAATTTTTTTCTCAAATTGTGGACAAGAAAAATGAAATTTGATAGATATTTTTTACTAATAAATAGGATATTTAGTAATATTTTTTTAATCTTTCCATATCGTTATAAGAAGATGAAATTAACAACCCTTATTTAATCTTTTAATAAAAATTAAGGGGTGTTTTTCATATAAACACATCTTTCCTATATCTTTCCTTGAAATGAAATTTGGCAGATATTTTTTACTAATAAAAAGGATATTTATTAATATTTTTTAATTATTCTTATTTATCCGATTATATGGTATATGTTAATATCAATTATTGTATTTTAGTTTTGTCACTGAAGATGATTAAATAATAACCGAAACGTCTAACAACTGATTGCTTGTATTGTTTTATTACAACTTTACACCAAGATCGTGCTCTTTGCCCATTTGTTACTCTTTAATTATAGTATTGTTTTAATTTTCCCATACCGTTATAAGAAAATAAAATTAACAACCCTTATTCAATTTTTTAGTAGAATTTTTTAACCGAACCGATAATGTGACTTTTCAGGAAGGGAGATTTATATAAAAAACTCTCCTTAATTTTTGACAAAGAGAATTATTTAAAATTTTTTACGGTTATTTAGAAACACTTGTATATATTTTTCGCGAGATAAATAGGGAGACATGCAAGATATACACAGCTACCGAGAATTGTCTTGACGATTTTAACTCGGCTCAATTGCGCTCGAGAGCAGCGCAAAATCATTTGGCAATTTGTTCAAAGACATGAGACGTGCATAAATCATTTTTTATGGAAAGCGCAAAATTACATCACGAAGTCAGATATAAGATTAACGATCTTATAATTACATTGAGAGAAAAAATTGTATTCTCGAAGTGAAAGGACTATACCATAAAATCCCTTCTGACAGATATTCTTAAGTGTTTCTAGAACATTCTCTAAAAAATTAAGAAGATTTTTTTATTAATAAAAAACCGGTTATATGTTTTTTTATGCGAATCACTCATTATGTGTTAATACGATTATATTATTGCAGCAACATATATAATGTTGCAATTTACAAGTACAGTGCAATGTTTATCATTGAATGATTTTTTAGTTTAATAGAAGAATGGATGAAGTTAAAATAATAATAAATAATTAGAAAAAAATATACTTGAGCGATTTAAGGAAAATATGTAGCATAACTAATTCGATATATGCATATATATATCTATGCTTTCTTTATTATCTTTTTTTGCTCATGTGCTGTAAAACAATATTTTTGTTGATGTGGAAATAAATCTCATTTTATTTATATTCTTATAAATCAAGATCTAATATTAATCTTTAAAATTTAATCTTTGTTAATATAAGAGTTCTTTTGGCACCTTTCTATTTTGAAACAATTCTAAAAATAAGGAAAATTCTTGAAATAAGCATACAATTTTTTCAATGCAGAATCGTTCTGTATTCCATCAATATTTTCCAAATATTCAAAATAATCTCTATTATTTCTTTTTGTATGTGTGTAATTTTTTATAGCAATTCGATATTAATTAACAAAGTCTACAGAAATAAACTCAAGATTTGACAGTCTTAAATCTGACAGATATCAGCTCGTTATTATTAATCAAGTTTTTTCGAGATATTCCATTACATATTTTACATTGGCTAGTTTAGCTACATTATATCAAATCGGATAGTTCACTTTGCCACGTAAATCTCGTATACGTGAGCACGCAGTTATTATATTATTTGCACATTTTGTCTGTTTTATCAATTTTTTACGGTAGGAATGTTCAAACAGACATCATTTATGTATTTTTTTTGCGTGTTGTACCCATTCGTTATTTTTTGTTCGTTAAATGGAACTTTACAGATACACACACACAAAACTGTTTCCTTTTGGCGGATTGGAGGTATTTTTGGATTGAATTTTAAATATTGAAAATATATCCCGGCCTGTGTCATCTCTCGATCGATTGTAGAACGAGCGGTCTGTTCGCGTGTCGCATGCAGTAATGTTTCATGTCGTTCAAAATTACCGCCGATTTTTTTAACATAAAGGTTTATTGCAATATTGATTTACACTACGTGGTTTGTCAAAGAGCAATCGCGGAAATAGTACCAGAATTCAAAAAGTAATACCGTGAATAAAAGTTTATGTATGACGTTGTCAACAATTTCGCCTCGAAACATTAAAACACGTATCGTCGAAAATAATACAATATTTTTATATTTCTTCTCGAACAAAGCATGTTCAAAGCTGGTAATATTTTAATATTCACGTTTTATGATTATATTAAAAGCTATCAGCGAGAGGAATATTATAAAAGAGCGTAATTTTGTCACGATATCAAAATTATTTTCTTACAAGCTTGTCAAAATTGATATGCCGCTGTAATTGATGCTGTTAATTCAAAAATGCAAGAAAACAAGGTATCTGTAAAATTGCTCTTGATCGAACAAATGTAAACAAACGTAAGCGATGAAGCTAAAGATTATACAAGACAAATTTAGGCCACACGAGATCAGCATCAGCATTAGGAGTAGAGAAATAGAGTAAGCAGAGAGTGGAAGAGAGAGATATTCGTCCTACCTTATATAACACATGACGTACCTAGAGAAGATCTTAAAGAATGTGTCCGGCACGCGATTAGGTGCGTTACCTTTAAATACGTAGCAGCGAGTCTCGGAGCCTTAAAACAGACAAACTGGCACATTCTCCTCGGAGAAAAGACGAATAGGCACCGCAGGTGGATAGGGAGGGAAGAGATGTCGCAGCGTTGTCGTAGCAACAGGGCTGCTACGGGTCCACTAACCTTTAGACATCGATCTCCTGACCGACATCCCGGAAGTGAAGCTCGGCGTACTGCATTATCGTAGGTGTGGAAGACGCACGGATGTCGTTGATTTGGTTGCTGCCCGTCGACAGCCTCGTCTTCGACATTTTGTTGCGACTTTCGTCCACGTCTGTCGCGAATTGCGACGTGTTGTTGCAGCGATTCGACTGACGATCCCACGACGGTGGTTGTTGCTGATGATGTTGCTGCTGTTGCTGATGATGTTGCTGCTGTTGTTGATGGTGTTGCTGCTGTTGCTGATGATGTTGCTGCTGTTGCTGATGATGTTGCTGCTGTTGCTGACGCACCGAGTTGGATCCGAGATAGTCGGAACACTCCACATCCACGTCGTCCATGTCGTCTTCGTAATAATGCGGATACGAGATTTTGTACATCGTCTCGGACACGTCCAGGTCCGAAATCTGATGGAAACTGGTCTCGCAATCAGAGGGTGTAACACCGTTGAAGGTGGTGTCGTTACGTCGCGACGGAACGTCTCCTCTCTGCCGATTCTGCTTCGACTTGTTCCGATCGCCCGAGGTACGCTCGTGCTTCCGGTACTTCCGGTTACGCTCGTTTCGCCGATTCGTCGACGAGTGTCGACGCGACGACGACTGCCTCGCGTCGTGATTGCCGTAAGTCTGTTGCTGTTGCTGATGATGCTCCTCGTCCCGCGAAACCGCGGACAAGTGATTATCGGTCGTGGTCTCGTGATGCACCAGGGTGGACGGCCGACTGTTGTTAGTAGTGTGGACGAGAGAGGTTTGCAGGGGACTAACTATCGAGGGATGGTAGAGGTTGCGCGTTAGTGGCAGTGTTAGTTGGTTCGAACTGTTGCTCGGTAAGGGGTAGCTGTACTGCTGCATCTCCTGCCGATGCTGTTGCTGGTAGTGTTCTTTGTAGTTGTATAGGCTGTCGGTCTGCAACAGGCACGGTTAGTAGTTGGGACCAGGCGAAACGGGGAGTTGAGCGGTTATTAACGCGACATAGATTCGAGAAAAGTGTGCGTTAACAAATCGGAGACGGCTGAGACATTATTTCGATTTTCCAATTTTAGGAAAAGGATCTACATAAATGATGATATTTTTTTGTCTTGTCGAATACTATCTTTGGATATTGCTTCTAATGCATATATGCAGTACATATATATATATTTTTTTTTCAATTTGAATATTTAATATATACGTTATTTAAATATGTATATAATGTATTTATAATATACATATATATTTATATATTTGAATAAATATATATATATATATATTTAACATGTGTATATATAAATATTTATATTTAAATATAATTAGGTATATATTTAGATATTCAAATTTGATTATTTAAATATAAATATTAAAATAATATTATATATGTACATATACATATTGTAATATTTATATTTGAATAATAATATTAAATATATATATATATATTATATATATATATTTTTTTTTTATAGTTATAATATGAAATCTAGAATATATATTTTTTAAAACGAAAAGAGAGAAGCTGAAATCAATAAGTGCACGGAATTTCACGTCAGAAATTTGATGTGCAAACACTCGCGATTGATTCACATACAATTCTTGTTATATTGTTGGAACGATAAATGGTGAAAATAAGAATTTGGTACAGCTTCTCGTCGTACTATATATAATTCTAATACGTGCGTGATCTCAATTCTTTTATTGATTCGAGACAAATATTATCAGATTGTTTAGATAGTTGCTGCTACTGTTCTAAATTGAATCAATAAAAATGTTATTGATTAAAGCAGTAAAAAATTTCTCTGATCAGTGAGCATTTTATTGTTCTATAATAAAAATACTCACACTTTGCTTTCCCGCTTTGTATCAATATCCAGTAAAATTTCATTGAAAAATCAATAATAAATCATACATATGTATTAGCAAAAAAATTTTTAGTTTTTTTTATTTTTTTTAGATTGCTTTTTTTGGAAGAAATTTTCACAAATACATGTCTGGAATAAAACTCGAATAACTAGTATTGAAATTCAAAATTATATAATATTACACTTTTCTATTTTTAAACTGTCAACTCAAAAAATAAAATAGTCTTTGGGTCAAAAAACTCACTCATATTTCTTCTTATGTAATATATAATATCATAATACAAGGCATATTTTTTTTTTTTTTAATATCACTAATTGAAAGAGCTAGCACTACCACTAAATTATTTCTACGAGATTTTACTAATTTGCAATATGTTATACTTATTACTCATTGGTCAAATCATTAATAATTGTCTACTGCTTTTTATACATCGATTTGATTTAAGAGTGTGTAATTTTGCAAGTATATTTTGATAAAATATGTTTTACATTTTAATAACGTTACATTTTAAGATATATAAAGAATTTATAAATTATTGCTCACACAATAAATTTTGAATATTCATGCGTCCTCTTCTATTCGACTTCAAAGAATCCTCCGTTGACGTTGTTCATCGATGATGCACCTATATAACGATATCATAAAGTGTGCAAGGATTTATACTATAGATTGATAAGATGAAAAAAGACATTTTTCCGTTTCGAAATTTCGCATCGAAATCATGCATCTCTCTTTGTCGTCGACGAAGATAAGGGAACAATATACGAAAAAAATAGGTGACGATTGCAAAAAGGAAAAAAAAAATACTTTCAAGATAATATCTCAGGCACGTCTGTGTTTCGAAACGAGCTCGAGTCATTGGTTAAGCGTGTTTGTGTATGTGTGAGACAGTGAAAACTTACTTGACACGCGGCCAACATGCACAAGGGCGGTCGCTACAAAGATGCCCGGATCCAGCTTAGCAGGGAAAATATGATTTCCGATTATAACTCGGCTTCCAGCAACTCTACCTCCTACTTGCTCGAGAGAAGCTGCTGTTTTATATCTATTACGGACACGTAAATCGTTCACATGCAGTAGATGCGCGAGATGCTAATGTATACTCGGTGCTTATTAAAGGAGATTGACATTCTTGCTCGCCGGACATTGCCGCATTGATTTGATTTTATTCATAAACTTACAAAAGTCTTATTCAATGACGCGATGATGCTTGCAAAGTCATAGTGGGCGATCTAAAGCGCGTTATTTTCTATGAGAAAATTTAGAAGAGAAGAATGTTATTTCTGGACTTTTCAATTTGATAGATTTTTTTATCGAGGAAAAGAATGTCTCAAAAATTTAAAAAGTTCAACTTTTTTGGAAAAATAAATTAAAGATTTTATTTTTCTCAAGAGATTATTTTCAAAGATTTTCACCAAATTTTATTTCGATTTAATCAAAATTGAATGAGTTGTGGCATTCTTTTTCTGATAAAAATTTTAATAACATAATGATTTATGAAATTAAGGAATTCCTATAAATAATATTCTTGCCGAAAATTATTATAATAAATACGATGATGAGTACCACAAAGAAACTTTTAGCTTTAAATGGCATCGCGAATTTTCTACTATTATTACACTACGATAAAAATATATCTATTCCAAAGAATACTTTCTCAGACTAGCTCGATTATTATGGTAAAAATTAATAAAATCGATGATGCAACAAATAATGATATATGATATAAATGTTTTTTACTACTGACATAAAATTATTTAATTCACACGAAATTCTTTATAAATGCTAAGATCGTAAATAATGTCAAACAAAATTATTCCAAACTTAATCAGAAAGTTTAGTTTCGAACTAAGTTTAAATCGAATAATACCCTTTTAAGGCGGGCTAATTATAAATTATAAATTGGTTGAATTATGAATGCTTTCTATAATCGATTGTTTTACTTTATAATTGAACGTTGCCTTTAATCAAATTTCATCATATTCTGTTTATATATATATATATATATATAAGTCATTATTCAAATTGTAATAAAATGATATGTTTTACAAGTTCCAATTTTCTAGTTTAAATAACAAATATTTGGTAAAATTGATGAAATATGAGAAAAATTTATGATTTAAATGCCACTAATAAATATTCGATTGATTTGCGTGAAAAAGACTTGTATAAATTAAATGGAAAGTTTAATATGTCTCGAGAAATACGTTAATATATTCACATTTCAAACAAAACTGATTATAAATAATTTCTTATAATCATTAAAAAATTTCTTTCTATTTATTTTCATATCTCTTTGTGAATTCTGACAAAATATCATTAATATTTTAACTTGGGAAAATACTGTGCTTTGCTGTTGAAGTATTTGATGAAAGAGCAGCATTCTCTGAAAGAGTTCTGTACCTACATAAAATTGGCTAAAAAGCTTTTGGAAAATATTACATCTAATATACACATCTCTTATGTATCTTTGTATATCATATATACAATATATATGTGTATGTGTATGTGTATACATTTCCCATCCAATTCTATCAACTATATGCTTCAAATATTCGTAGCTGTAAAGCGTAAATTGCAAGGAAAATATTTATTTCCGATGCCTAAAATTTTATCACTCTCGTAGCTGCACAGTAGAAAAATTTGTTTTCTTGTTAAAAATGGTCCCCGTTAAAATTTTTATATTTTAACACAATTCATGTGTTAATTTAATATATTGCTGGTGTGTCAATTAAAATTAAATATTAAATTATTAAAAAAACAACTAAAAAAAGATGTAAAAATAACACAATGTGCATCTATTTTTAATTTTACATAATAGATATGTTTTGTTTTATTTTAGATAAAATTTATCTGTTAAAATTTACAGAAAAGAATGTTGATTTTTCATTTTATAGATGGAGATGTTAAAATAAAAAATTAACATATTTTTAGTTAATTTTTACATTGAAACTATGTTAATTTTAGACAAAATTTATTTTAAATTACTTGAAGTTTTGCATTTATTTTGTATTAAAATATTAACACAGTATTTGTGTTTCCATTTAACATATCCAGGGTTGAGTAAATTAATAATTTTTTGAAAACTAAGTTAAGTTAAAGTTAGTTGTTTATAAAATTAATGTAGTTAAGTTAAAAGTTGCATGAACAAAAAAATAACTCAGTTAAAGTTAAAATTAAATTAACTAAAGTTAAATCAAAAGTTAATTGATTAAATATTAAGTACTTATATTAAATTAGAATTTTGTTTGTTACTTCTTTTAAAATTTAAAATAACAAATAACAAAGAAATTTTGATTTTTATATGAAAATATATTTTTTGGTAATTACAATTGATATCAAATAAACAAAAAATTAATGATACTTTAATTTAAAAATAATATGTTTATAACTTATAAAAGAACAATAATAGCTCCAGAGATAAAAAAAAGTTAATAAGTTTAAGGTGGGATGTTGGATGTCTGTTTTATCGATTATATGATTATAGATCTTTCTGCACCGAAAATTTTTTATTAGTTTAATAAAATAATAAATGCTTTTCCACAATTGAAGTACGTACAGAAACTAACAATAAGTAGGAACCTACCGATTTTATGTTAAAAAGAAGAAAAAATTTAAAAACTAAAATTTCTTTATCGACTTCTATCGTCAGGTAAAAAAAATTATTGTTTAATATAAAAGTTCTGCTGTTCGTACGTACAAAATAAGATAGGTTCTGACTAAAAATTGAATGAAGTATTAGTAAACTTTTAGATATAAGTTTAGAAGCCTAATAAATAAGAACACGGTGCAGAAAATTTTCACGCAATGTGTTGTATACGTGTATATATTTAGATATGTGTAGTGCTAATCTATCGGAGTTTGGCCTTCACTCCAGCATTTTTTTAAATGTTAACTAATTAACAATTTATTACTCAACCCTGAACATATCCATATTATGTGAAATTAATACCAAAATTGTTTGGGACATGTGAAATATCTTAATTAAATTTAACACAACAATTTTTCAACTATGTGGAATAAAATTGTAGGCAAAAAATGATCGATAACGATTACGATACCGACACTTTCACTCTTGACAATGCAAGCCGATCGCGAGAGAATCGCCGGAGAATCGGCAACGTCCGCGAGCAACGTCGTCATCATCAGATGCGGGGATTCCCTATCGTAAACGATGAGTAGTAGTTGACAAACCTTAAGCTTAGGCAACGAAGCGTTTCTCGGTGGAAAAACGGGGGGAGGGACATTTTGATAGGTGTGTTTGGATGGGTCGATCTTCTTGGAAGTCCTCGGGGCCGGAATCGGAGGCGTCAGTGTCGGCGACGACGGGATCGGCGTAGAGGGCGCTGATCTGGTCGTCAGGTTGATCGATCTCTGGCTGAGGCTCAGAGTGGACGGAGCCTCTCCCATCGATCGTACGATCGTCGCGATCGTCGCCGTGCTGTCGCTCCTGTGCGGACAGGTCTTGTAGATCGGTATCGCGTAGAGCTCGTACTTCCGGCGGATGTTCTCGTGCCTACGGCAGAGCCGCAGGGAGTAAAACTGCTGGGAGTGCTTCTGCTTGCGCCGCCGCGGCTTCAGGGTGTTGTACTTGAGGATCGGCGAGTTGCCTCTGGGCACGTTGTAAACGGTGTAGTGGGGCCCCAAGTGGCTCATGGTAGACTCGTAGCCGGAGCTGCCGTCGCAGAGGCTGACAGCTCGGCTGGGCGGCCGCGAGGAGCACGGCGAGGCCGTGAAGGAATGATGCAACGATGCGCCATGCAAAGCCGAAACTCGGGCAAACTTAGGGGTAACCAACTAAAACAAAACGCAGCCAGCGGCCATTCACATACACACATATATAACAACCTTCGGCCCCGATTTCGATTGGGTTTGCTTGATTAACGCTCGATTATCCAATAACGTCGATGACGAAGGGAATTCGACGGCTAATGACGTTTTGCGATGACTTGATTAGAGACGCCAAGGCTCGTACATAGTAGATTAGCCGAAATGGCGCTTCCTCGCCGTAGGACATAAGTAGATAATCTACGTCAATTTCTGAATTGCTATTGGCATTTTAGACGATAGTATCGCTGATATAGTTATGGCCTTGTGAAAGTTACGAAGTCATTTGTACTGTTATAATTGTTATAATTGTAGTGGAACAATATTGATAGATACCGATTGACACAGACATTTAAAATTATTGGAGATATTTTCATAAAAGAAAATTATCTTGGTGTATAGAACATTTATTCCCGAAAACCATTTTCTTCAATCTTTGTTGCGAGGGACAATTGCATTATATTTTTTCTTACACGAATTATCAAATTGTAATTGAACAAAAAACATTATAGAGAGTGTTTCTAAATAAATGCGAAAATAATTCTGTGTCGAAAATTTTTGAAAGGAGTTTTTCATATAAATATATACTCTCTATGAAAATCAGGTTTTTAATTTTTTTTTCAAATTTTAGGCAAGTTAAAGGTAAAAGTGGTGATTTTCTACAAATAAATATTTATTAATATTATTTTAATCTTCTCATATCGTTATAAGAAGATAAAACTAACAACCTCTTAATTTCTTATTAATTATTTAATTTCTTATTAGTAAGTATTTTTTAACAGGTCAGAATGTGATTACCTAAAATATGCGTTAGAAAGCTTGATTCCTTTAGAAACTTTTTTATTCCTTTAAAATTGATAATTTTCAAGAAAAAAATAAATTTAATTTTCACTTCTCCCTTTGAAGAAGTATAACTCCTGAAAGGATATAGGAGTATATGTTTATATGAAAAAGTTCTCTTAATTTTTTATAAAAACTCATCTTCTAAAATTTTTCGTACTTATTTAGAAACACTGTATAATTGTACTTTCTTAATTCTCCAATAAAAAAATCACAAAATTAAATTATTTACTGGTATAGTCATTTTATTCCTAAAAATAATTCTTTCCAATCTCTGTCGTGTGAGAAATAATATAGTACATTATTTACGAATTCTAAAAGTTATATAATCAAACAAAAAAGCAGAATATTATAATTATATTTTTTAAAAATTGTATTCGACTTTTATAAAAATTCCAAAATGAAAATTTCGTCTTGTCGATCAGAGGAATTAAATGGCAAAAAATTCCTGGATAACATAATTTTTCGAAATAATCGTAGTTAATTGAAATATAGCATTGCAACGAGCCTGGAAAATGGCGCATATATATCGCGGCTATTGTCGATAGGTTAGAACAATCATCAATTGGGTATCGGCCCTAATTATCGAGTACCCTGTGCCAGCAACACGGTGTGCTTATTGCCTCTCATCGAATTATACGTTGATTGATTCAGATTGCGCTCGGATTGTGAATATTTGCGAATTAGGTAAACCGATTCGGCTAATTTCGCCTGCGCGAGCTTGCCGAAATGAGCTTTGCCTGAATGTGAATATGTTTGCAATGTCGGGGAGTGTTTTCCGTTTAAACAAAATTAGGTCGTCCGTGTCAATCGGAATCATTACGGAAAGCTAAATAATTAACGTAACTATATCAGCACTCAAATCTCGCGTCTATTATCTAGCGTTTGAAAAAACTTAGGGACAATTTGTGATGTATCTACCAATAAATAAAACACTCAAGCCGCGAACTATTTATTAATTAAACTGTAGAACTGTAATTATTACACCGCTAATTTTTCAATTATTTTTATAATTATTTTTGTAATTATTTGTATAGCTACCATTTATCTATAATGGAAAATGCATTGAGTTAAAGTTTTAATTGATTTAAACAAATATTCAATACGTCAATTTGTACGAACAATCGATTTAGCTGAATAAATTCTATTATTTATTATTAAAATAATAAAGTGAAAACCTATATAGCGATTTTATTTGTCCGTAAATAAAATTGCGATACGTCGTGAATTTAATAAGATTTTTAAAATAAGGACTATAGATTACCGTTAGTTTTCATAAAATATGACACAGATAAATGATTCGAGCGTTAATCAGCACAAACCAGTTATATCAATTTCGATAAGAATAGCATTATACGAAATTGTTCCATTGTGAGACAAACAAATTATTGAAAACTCATTGCAACAATTGATTTTTCTAAAAAAGAAAAAAAAACAACAAAATGTTAAAGCGCGAGCACGATTAAGTTAGAAAAAAAAAGAAAAGCGAGAGCACAGTGAATTTATTTTCGCCAAAGTAGCAATGCTCGTTACACTCGCACAGCACTGAATTACCTGTCCACCACGATGTTCTTTTTTCCGCTATATTGATTGGGCTACGAGACGACTTCCTACGTGCTAATAAAAATAGTATTTGGAAGTTCGCAAAAGAAAAACAAAAATCATGTGTCGTGAAGGCAGCTCGAAGAATTAATAACACAGTCACTTACTTGTTACAAACTAATACAATTTCGTTTTATACTTCTCATTGGCAAATTATATCCCCATAATTTTTATCAAACTCTGTTAAATTATCGGTTTGCGATTATCTGGAAGAGACAATCGATATAGAATCGTTATCGCACAGGTATATTAACGTAAGGCAAGCAATAATATGTAAAAGCAGCCATTTGCAAAGTGCGTGAACATTTGAGTAATTAATTCGAAAGTAGATTAAAAAAAGTTGGAGAGAAAAATTATTAATAAAAAAAATTGCGAACGTTAATACGCGCGACGTATTTTTCTTTTCGAGAGGAGCGTATATATAAATTTTGATGAAAATTATTATCCGCTTTTGATCCGCAGAGTTATTTCCCGCTGCGTGCAGAGTATCATTGTGAGAGTATCACGTCTCAACGCGAATAAAACACTTTTTGACGACGCATATACCGAATAAAATGAATGAATTTCACTCGACATGCATTTTAGCGGCATCGGTTTCGCATGATTATCGCTAAAAGCGGTACGAAATTACGAACCTCAACCTCTGCAATCAACAACAATATTGTTGACAAGCAACGATATTTATCACCATGTATATATATATATATATATATATATATATATATATATATATATTAAATCAACGTGAGAGATAATGATGGCAAATTGTCAGTCACTATTATTAATTACTTTTACATCTTTTCCCGTCAATATTTCAATGTATATAAATAATCCCCAACGTATAATGTAATTTATGTTTATATATAATAATAGAGAAATTGAAGATATTATGAAGAGATATTAAAATATATATTATCTTGCGAATATTAAAATATATGTTATATTAAATATATGTTAGAGAATTGTTTTCTCAAGATATCGAATCGCCTGCATTACTGTCAAGATAAATCCTGGTTTCAAAGAGAATTCGTAACATTCCCCGAATTGAACTGACGCTCCGCGAAGTAGAATATCCTTTGTAGAATACTCTTGACGACTCAAGAGAGAACGATATATTTATTCGCTTGAGAAACGCGACGTGGTAGAATCGATTGCGATAGCAGAATTTACATCGTAAAGATCTGGATCGGATGTCATCAAATGCATTTTTAATGCAAGAGAGACTTGGATAATAATACCTCATAAAAAATAATTTCTTCTCTCTCTCTCTCTCCCTCTCATAGTTGTACGATATTTTTTTCTATCTGCAAATATAAAATAGAGAGACAGAAATTCGTATCTATTTTTATATTAAAATTTCTCTCTGTATAAAGCTCAATTTGCAGGTAGTTACAAGTTCTGTCATCTTAAAAGATTTCACGATTTTTCAGATATGTAACGCAAACTCGCCTTAATTCTCTTATTTTAATTATTCAAACTTAAACAGAAGAACGAGCCTGCGAAATGGCAAAATTAATTATTTAAATGTTTGCTTGAGGCGAATCAATTAATCATGATAATTCGCGGCAACGAGTGAGCGCGCTCGTAAAAAGGGATGTGAAGCAGCGAAGATGGAAGGGGATGGGATGTAAGGGTGGAGCGACGAATGCATTCGCGCGGTAATTCGATAAGGCGAACGAGTACCAGAACTGACCTCTTAATTGCGAAACGGCGATTCGGAAAGTCGAAGTGCGAAGTAACGTTATAGCCATTACGAGGGTCGAAAGAGGCTTTGGTGTAACCGAGCCTCGGTTTAGGCTCTTACCAAAGTGAAGCACACAAGCAATACCGTGTGTCGAAGTGGCGAGGCACTTCTAAGTGCTTGCGGGCCTTCGAAAGCGGTTTGAGCGACGCGAAGGGTTCGTACTAATATCTCTACCCTCTCTTGGCCTTTCACCACATTTCACTTGCTATCGCCTCTCCAACGTATTTGGTCAGAAAGAGGCGGACGTTAATCGACGAACTGTTCATGAAACTTGGTGGCTAACTGGCGAAGATGTTCACCAAGAGAAGGGTATCGATGTATCAACTTGGGTCGATCTTTGCACTGAATGTAGTATCATCTCGCTCTTCCGACACAGTTCAAGTGGAAAATCGGGAAATGTCGCGATTAAATGTCATTTGATCCTTCTGTCAACGAACGGGTATATAAAGCAACCTTAAATGTGTTGAAAATATGTAAGTACCCAAGTATTTGTATATTGATGCAAAAGTGAACCATTATGCATTGATAAGTTGGTTAAGGAAATGCTAATTAGGTCTGTTTTATCGACAAATATTATTTTTATTTAACTCTTTATTAGCTATACAGAATAAAAAATCTTTTAAATTAAAATATTCATAATAATAAATCAGGGCTATTATGTGTGTATAAAAAGAAACCAAGAAAGTCTAATAGTTATAGTTTTCTTATATTTTAGATTAGATTGATCCAATGCAAAAGACCAATAGAAAAATTGTAATTATTTAGCCTTCTTGTTTTTTTTAATATACATATGTAGTAGTCCATATTTGTTATTATGAGTACTTTAATTCTAGCAAAGATTTTTCATTCTATATATAGTCAATAAAGAGTTAAACGAAAATAATATTTGTCGATAAAACAGACCTAGTCAGCATCCTCTTAATGGAATCCTAAATGCTGTCCAGTTTTATCGATAAAACATCATTTTTGAGCACTCTTTTCTTTTTATTGGTTGAATAGAATAATAAATGCTTTTTTATGATTAAAGTACATATAGAACCAAAGTGCGAATCTACCGATTTTTCGTTAGCAATAAAAAATTTTATTTTTTAATTAAAATATTTTTGTTTCTATATGTACTTTAATCGTGGAAGAGAAGAATTTATTATTCTATTCAATCAATAAAAAGAAAAGGATGCGCAAAAATATTTTATCGATAAAACAGGATGGCGTTTAAGATCCCCTTAAGTAGGTACATATCTGGTTATTCTTTGCTTTCTTATAAAACATTACAAAAGACATTTGTAATATTATTTCTTACACACCTAGCGCTTGAACAATTTTTAACGTTTCAAATCAATCTTTCGCAACTGATACATTTGCCATCATTAGTTCTCTTTCTCTCTGACAATCACGCTAATGTGCACGTTGCAAGTCGAGTCTAGCTCTCATGCGCAGTCCGACAAAACCTTTTTTTTCTTCGCCTTTCTTTTTCCACTATACAATGATCATTATACTAACCTTGTTAGGTGGCGCTTGAATCCCGTGAAAAGGTAAGTTTTCGTAGAACGTCTTCGTCCCCGAGTCGGGAAGAACTTCCGACACGCTGTTCACATGATTGTTATTCGCGGCTTGATTGGGATCTGCAATTGCAAAAAGAGAATCGTGTTGCATAAATTGTCGTAACGTAAATTGTCGACGTTGGCAGCGAACTTCGACGTTCCACGATCGACCAACACATTTTTGATTTAATCCAATATAAAGACCAACTTTCATTATTGCATAGAGAGTATAAAGAATATAAAACGTTGTAACGAGAAAAGAAAAAGTCGGATTGCAATTTCGAATTGGATTTCAGGCGGTCGTAGGACTGAAAAATTCTTAAGCAATCAATCGCGTAATCAATGTAATTCTTTGCTCTTTAAATTAGAATTCTGTTTTAAATTTTACAAGCCTAGTTTTCACAATTTGCGTTTTTAAAATTTTTTTTTCATCTAATTTACATTCTACAATTCGCATTACATAGTGTTTACTCGATATACAATAAAATATTGTGCTATCGTTGATAATTGTCATTACCCATTCATAACTTTGCTATAATAAAACCCCCTCGTTAAAGAGATCACAGTATACAAGATAAGAAAATTTATGTGTTATTTGATATTATAAAATATATATTATTTTTTAAATAAAATTTAAATTATACATATATAATTTATATTATTTAATTTTAATAAAAAAAGTAATAAATATTGGAAAATTATATGTATACATGTCGTCTCGGTATATAAATCAGATAATGAATAATATCTGTGACATAATTAATTTATACCATAAGTGAGAGAAACTTATGTGGTCGGTCGCTGCGTATATTTTTCTGTTGATGCGAAACTATGAATTTTTGCGTGCCTAGAGCTAAATAATCTTCTATTTCGCACTATTTGGCACTGTGTATCTGTGTTCATATTTATATTTCCTTCCGTGTCCAATGATGCGTATATTAAGAGTAACACATAAAGTTGATTGAGGAAATTCGTCAATTTTTTTGGAGAAGGTTCTAAGTCAAATTATATGCGAACAAGTCAAGTCGAAGACATGCGCAGAAGTTTTGCACAGAGATATTTTTTCTACGTACCTGCACCCGGCTTTTTTCGCTTACGAGATGCATTGCCACGATTCGGCTCGCGAGGGAGTGGCTCCATGGAGTGCAGCATTCGCTGCCGCGGCACGATTCTTTTGTAAGTCACGGCTAAGAAACATACAAGCAACAACGAGCGATGTCACAAACACATAAAGCCTCTCTCATGCGACAACAAACATCGATGCAATTATGGATGTCTAAAAATATAGGATATAGGATAGAAAGTTTCATCTTCAATTTCAAGGTATTGCATTATTATAAAACAATATTTTTTTATAAATATCTTTTGTCATTGTTGTAACATTTTTGTTTGTATTATAATAGATATTTTATTTTTTTGTATTACAAAAAATATTTATTGTAATACAAAAATTATAAAAAATACAGAAAAAATATTTTTTGTAATACAAAAAAATAAAACATCTATTATAATACAAACAAAAATTTTAGATTGACAAATAATACTTTTTTGTATTATTTTATAATAATATGCTAATATAATGCATTAGTAATATTATAGTGATATAAAAAATATATTTTTCGTTTTAGAAATATTTCTTACTTCAAATTGAAAAAATATTTTATTGTGTATCAGAAGCTGAATTATATGTATGTATATATAACATTTTTTCATATCCAATTTGTTTTCATATTTTTCTTACAATTTGAGATACTTTGAATAAGGATTATAAATTACAACAAATACAGAAAAAATTTATTATTATATATTATTACAGAAAAAATTTGTTTTTATGACTTCTTTACCTTTCGGGTAATAATATACATAATTAAATTGCACGTTAAATTAAAAATTATATGTATATGTACATTTTATATTTTAAAGTGTAAAATATCATTTAAAAAGTAGTATTATTACGTCTGCGCTAATGGGAAATGATAATTAAATAAATAATATTTTTTAATATTAAATTATTAAATTATATTTAATATTAATTATATATACAAAATATACCGATATTTAATTTCTTTATTAACATAATATAAATTTAATTTTAATGCACTGCATATATTGATTTTCCTGTTTGAATGCGATTATTTTTTTAAATCTACAAGCTAATTGTAAGTACGTAAGGATAAAAAGCTCGAAAAATACGCATTGGAAGGTATAGCAAGGTCGAGCGCTTTCCTGGAACGCGAAGTTTCTGCCGGCATGGAAAAGTTAAGGGGTTTAATTACGCGTCGTATACATTAGCTGTGTGTTTAATGAGATTTCAAACTCGTCTACGAGACACGCAGCGAGCACGTACTTTACATACCGCGTACTTTCCAACAACACGGCGACGGTTTTTCGTTTGAAAGCGCGTAAAAAGAGTTGTAAAAAAGAAGTCAGAGATAATGGAGAAGATAACGCGATAGAGTCTATTATTACCTGTGTGACGACAATCGAAAAAAATTCTGTTGAAAGAGTAACGCGAAACGAGTTCTGCCGAGAATGGAACCGTAAAATCAATAGCGTGAGATATCGGCAAGATAACTGGATAATATACTTGTGATTATATATACATACATATATTATACATAGAATATATTATAAAGTATTCCGTAATAGGATGTCGATGAAATATCCTACTATGTTCATAAAACGAACAATGCAGTCGCCAAGACTTAAAATACGTAATTATATGTGTATAATAGGTGTTTCTAAATAAGTGCAAAAACTTAGGAAATAATTCTTTGTCAAATATTAGTGAGTTTTCATATATAAACATACACTCCTTCTTATATCCCTCTTTAACAAGTAAATTTCTCCAAAGGGAGCGGTAAAAATTAGGTTTTTAATTTTTTTTTCAAATTTTGGACATAAAAAATGAACTTTGATGGATATTTTTCATTAGTTCGGGGGATTTTTTAATCTTTTCGTATCGTTACAAGGTGATGAAACTAAGAGTCTCTATTCAATTGTTTATTAGAACTTTCTAATCGAACTGGAATGTAATTATCTAAAAATATGCGTTAGAAAGCTTGATTTCTTTAGAAACTTTTATTTCCTTTAATTTTTTTCGTAAAATCAATCAGTTTTTAAGAAAAAAATTTTACCTTTCCCTTCAAAGAAGTGTAACTTCTTACAATTATTATTAATTACATGGAAAACTCCCCCTTAATTTTCGACAAAGAATCATCTCTAAAAATTTTTTGCATTTATGTAGAATCATCCTGTATATTTTTCTTCACAAAAAAAAATCAAATAAATATAATAATCTTTGTACTGACTCACACTATGTACAATATTACTGTGCATACATCTTGTAAATACGGCAAAGATCAACAAGGTATACATCTGATTTATTTTCGGTGGGAAGCTGCTATTTGTTGAAACCATTTGCATTGACAAACATTTGCTTAGATCCGCTAGTATCTAAGCTTACGTTGCAGCGAGCAATAATGTCGGATAATTTGTAGTGCGAAATTAGAAATCCTATATATATATATATATATATATATATATATTAGGATTTATACTATTCCTAGATTTATAGTTTAAAAACAGAATAAAAACATACTTCTCAGGACGTTTATGATTCCCTTAAGGGAGTATATGTATATATATATATATATATATATATATATATATATACAGGGGGTAGACAAAATAATGTGAACACGTGTGAAAGAGAGGTATTTATATATGTACATTAATTAAATGTTGGGCCATCATTTGCCCATTTTCCAGTGTTGGGCCACCATTTGCTCCCTTTCTAATGTTATCTCATTCTTCCATCCGCCAATTGCCTTAGAGATAGATGTTAAAGGAGGAAATCCGCTTCTCAATCTTCTTCAAAACTGTCCACAGTTCAATGATATTAAGCCATTAAAATGCCCAAACACTCTCTCTGGCCAGCATAATTACCAAACCCAATTATCATCGAACCACTATAGGCAGTTTTGGAGAAGAGATTGAAAAAACGTTTAATTGGTTCAATGATATTCAAATTTGGTAATTGTGCTGGCCAGCAAAAATATTTAAACATCTTAATAGCTTAATATCATCGGACAGTAGGCAATTTTGAAAAAGTGAGAAACATATTTCCTCCTTCAACAAAGCAATTAGCAGATACAAGAATGAGACAACATTCCAATTAGAAAAAAAGCAAATGATAGCCCATCTTATTAACAAACAAATATAAATACCCCTCTTTCACAGGTGTTCACATTATTTTGTCTACCCCCTGTATATATATATTGTATATATATATACATATACTCCTATAAAGGAATCATAAACGTCCTGAGAAGTATGTTTTTATCCTGTTTTTAAACTTTAAATCTATTGGCTATACGGATTGTTTTTTATCTGAAATCAGACCAGGCCGGATTTGGTATTGGATAAAGGAATGTAAGTGAATGTTTAGATATATTTGAAAGCCTAGTAAACGAGAATAACAATTTGTGTACAAATAAAAATGTGGGATGAGTTATTTTCGTTTACTATAGGCTTCCAAATTGATATCTAAACATTCACTTATATTCCTTTATCCAATACCAAATCCGACCTGGTCTAATTTCAGATAAAAAACAATCCGTATAGCCAATAAATAGATTTACAGTTTATCTAACCTCACATTTTGTCGATAAAACAGGAAAAAACCAACAGACTTCTTAAGAGAGTTTAGGATCCCCTTAAGAAGACTCTGAAATCTGAAAATTGTGCGAGAGGGAAACCTTATACAGGATGTGGCGAATACGAGGGATTACGGTCGCGAGTGTAAACGGATTAACGTCGAGTCGCAGTTTGCAACTCTCTTACCTGTCTTCTCCCGGGATATCCCGGGCAGGGTGGCCTGTTCCTTGAGCTGCACCCCAAACATAGCTTTTATTTTGTTAGCCCGGGCGAGCATACCGTCCTCGTGACTGGTCAGACTGGTCATGCTGGTTGTCATCTGCGCGGGCTGCTCCTTCCTACACCGTCGGAACACGTGGCCGCGCGATGCGGGATTGCAGCCGATCGGCGACAGCGGCGTCTCGTCCGGGGACGGAAATCGCCGCCCGAACCTGTCCTCTCTCTGTTTGCCCACCGGCTCGTTACGCAGATTAGACTCGTTCGCGCTCCGGACGCCTAGGCCGCCGGATCGTAGGCTGTGTGTCCGATTGATGTGCACCAGCACGCCCGGCTTCAAGGGCCATCTCGGCGCCGGGGTCGGCTGCACCGGGCTTTGCACCGAGTGCGAGGATACCGTGGGACTGGGCGGCCCACCGTCTGGACTGTCACAACGATCGAGGTCACACGGGATGATCGAGACGCGTTATGACGGAGTGGGACGGATGGGACGCGACGCAGTGAGTTCTTGGTGATCGAGTTCGAAAGGGGGATTGTTTCGGTCGTTTTGTAATAATGAATTAAATAATGAACGCTATTCACAATCAGTGTTGTAATATTCGTTCGAGTTTTAGGTAAAATATATGTATAGCTGCAATATTGGACGGGTAAAAATAAAGAATCTTTGACCTGCATTTTAGTGATATGAATTCAAGGTACATATGTGTATATGTATATAAAGTTTTTTTTTCATTTAGTAGATGTCATTTCTTTTATAAAGAGATATTTAACGAGATCTCATTTTATGTAAATTTGACTTTTAAAATGTATGATAACTTCTGATATATTCTCTTTCTGTTATACATCTATCTATTCTAATAAAAGAACTGAATAAGGGTGGTTAATTTCATTTTCTTATAACGAAAAGAAAAGATTTTAAAAATATTAATAAATATCCTTTTTACTAATAGAAAATATCTATCATTTTTTAACTTGTCCAAAATTTAAGAAAAAAATTAAAAACCTAATTTTTACACACACTTATGTGTATACAGAGTGTCCCAGACTTATTGTACCACACGTTAAGAGGAGATTCTTGAAGCGATTTGGAGATGATTTTTCTTCAGCGAAAAGGCACCAATAATTTTTGAGTTATAAACGATTGAAAATAAAAGCTTTTTGTAAAGCCTTGTAAAAATAAATTATTAACAAAACACCTTAATTTTTAATTAATTTTAGATAAAGTTTACTTTAATAGAATTTTAATGTAAGGCTTAATTACAAAGATATACATGATTTTAAAAATTGAAAACATTAAAAAAATGATGATCTTTCTCTTGATACTTTTGCTGAGAAAAATCGTCTTTAAATAACCTTAAACGAATTTCCATAAACGAATGGTACAGTAAGGTTAGAACACCCTGTATATATACATATGATATTCAAACATTTTGGACAATTAAAAAAATGAAATTTGGTGGATATTTTCCATTAGTGAAAAAGATATTTTTTAATATTTTTAAAAAATCTTTTCTTTTTTTGTTATAAGAGAATGAAATTAACAATCCTTATTCAATTTTATATGTATATTTGAAAGAGAGAGCTCTTTATAAGAGAAATGACATTTAAATTTAGAAGCTTTATTGGAAACTCATTGCGTTGTCCCATTTATCCCAAGGATCTCAATTACCCCATTTGACCCGAATTGTCGCGCGAACGAGAGCGAGATGAAAGATCAAACGTGCGAGAGAATAACGGATAAAAAAGGATGAATCAGCTGTGCAGAAGTCCTCCTTGGGAATCAAGAGCTTACTGTGTTTGACGAGATAATAAATGCTCTTTCAACAATTTTCTCGAAGCAAAAATACCACGTATATTCCACGCAGCATTCCACATGTACATTCTAAATAGAATGTCGCGCAAATTTTATTAAATGAGCCGCATGTTTTGCGAAATAAAAAAATAATTCATTCGCAAAGTGGAGTTTTTTTTTTCAAAAAGCCCTCCGGGGACGAGATATGTTTTTGCATTAAGCCATCGTATCATCCCCCCGAATTGCATTATCTAAATGGGGGACATTGCGTGGGATGTCGTGTCTCCGGTAGGATCAGAGAAGACCTCTAAAGACGGAAATAAATCTCGGTGCAGAAAATCCGCCGTAGCTCAAGCGCGTTTGTCTTCCTTCTCTCAGCTCGCGGAATAACGAAATTCTAGTGCTGTTAAAATAGAATGCTTGATCCCGATACTGAATCCCGCGAATAAATTAATCTCCGTTGTTGCGAAGAAGCTGTCATGATTAAGTTCATTTACGTAAGTCCGCGCGTGAAAAACAAAAAAAAATATAAAATTTAATAAATACACAATAAGTAAGAAATATATGCGCGAGAAATATAAATTTAATGGTTCATATATCTTCCGGTTTAACTATGTGCAGTTTAGACATTTCACGTGTAACCAGAACAGATTATAATTAGAAGTATAATTATATTAAGTTAGTTAGTTGTACTAATTGTATTACAAGGGGAGAGAGAGAGAGAGAGAGAGAGAGAGAGAGAGAGAGAGAGAGAGAAAGAGAAAGAGAGCGTATAGTATAACAATATGTGTGCGTTTTAATCCAATTGTAAATTTTCTTTCTCGGATAAGACAAAATAATCTTATAGGAAATTTGAAATGACGTGAAAAAAGTGAGTAATATTAAACTGAGAAAAAAATATTTATTTGGAATATTTTTTTTTATTATTTGGAATTAAACAAGGTGTCTCTTAAATTTTTGATTCTGAAAAAATATCGCAAGCCAATTTTCACCAGCACATCAAGTTTCCATAATAATTGAAGTTTAATATGTAAAAAATTGCTTTTTTTGTAATATTAAAATTTTTTTTTTGTAAAAAAGGTCAACGTTGTTTTGAAATTCTGATCAGAAGTGATGAATATATTATTCATCCTTTATAAAATGCATTCTTTTAAATTTTGATATCTTATTTTTTAGTTGAAGGATTTAAATATAGAATTTTGCTGACATAGCAAATATTTTGTCCATAAAGATAAAGTCATATAATTATAATCATAATTCGTAGTTTGGGTCAATCGATGCTCATATACAGTGTATCGGAATGGATTCCACTAAATATATATTTATATATAGGGTGTCTCATTTTAGTTACCTACTTTGAATATTTCGAGACAATTTTGTTAAAAATGTTCCAGACAGAAGTTGTACAAAGGGGAATAAATAATGATAATATAAATTTGGAAAAAAACAATTTTTCTCCAAAAAACCTTTTTTCCTCAGCAACATCTTCATATGAGAAATAGCTTCTCAGCTTTAATCTTTTATAACATGATTAGTAAGTCAGAGATATTGAAGTAAGATATTGAAGATTAGAAGTAAGATATTGAAATAAAAAAAATGCATTTCATAGAAGATGAATAATGCATTCATGATATCTGATCAGAATTTTCAGACGTAAATCTTTTTACAAAAAAAATTTAAATATCGTAAAAAGGCCATTTTTACACATTAAATCTCAATTATTTTGGAAATATGCTAATAAAATTTGCTTTGAGGCATCATTTTCAGTACCCAAAAAATAAAAAAAAAAACACTTTGTTTGGTTAGAAATAATTTATGTAAACCAGTGAAAATGAATTAAATCTCATCATCTTTATACAAAATAAATTTTTGAATAAAGTCACTGGAAAATTTATAAACACCGGGCTGTCGTTGAAACTGCAAATACGCGAGCTTCAATGCCCGGACATTTTCAAGGTCCGCGGAAGGAACGAAGGCGCTCGAGGGAATGGCGGAAAAATGTCGTCGGGAATAGGGGAAAAGCGAAAAAGCGTCGTCGAGTATCGCCGTCAAGCGTGCGTACGCTATAAAAGATTGCATTGCACTAGAAAGACTGCGATTTCACCAGTATGATTCACGACGATGTACGACGTTTTCCAAGTATATTTCTCGCCGCAGTGACGTAACCAATGTTTGCGGATCCTTCCGGCGGATGAACATCATCGCAGTCCCCTTCATTTCAGGCAACGTTGATCTCTCTGTCACCATCTTTTTCTATCTTTCTTTTTTTTTTTTTATATCTTTTTCCCTCCTTTTCTTCTCAATATTTCTTGTGCCATTGTATCGTTCATTCCTTACATTACATTGTTTTTTCTTTTGTTTCTTTCTCTTCCTCTTGTTTCCTTGCCTTTTCTTCTCTTTTTCGTCTTTTCGTTTTTGAAGGGCCCTTCGTTACGCCATTGCTCGACGTTTTGAAGCTTTTCCGCAGCACTTTGCAGTTTTATTGCACGCTTCGTTTAAAGTCTTGTCGCATGAGCCGCGTTACGTTGCTCACATGTGGATCGAACTACCCTCGGCAATTATCGACGTTCACGCGCGCGTGTATGTGTCCACATGTGTGTGTCGGAGCTAATTTAATGACTCGTGTTCGCTAAATCGGGCGGGCCGACCTTTAAGCCCTGAAGTTTGAAATGAAATAAAAATCGTCGAATGCGCGTGCAAACGGCGTGCGATGACAAACGCACCTAGAGATCCTTTGAAGAGAGATGATCCGCCATTAGTGTGAAAATCTCGGAAACAGGAAGCTTTATAAATAATTTTAAACCTTAAAATGTCGAAATGTGTATCATTTTAACAAATAATAAATGAGAAGATATAAATTATGAAATAATATATTTTAAAATAATAAATTAAATATATGATATATGAGAGAAATATATTTATTATAAAATATGCTTAAAATATAGAAATGTATTATTAAAATAACAAAATGCGATTATGAAATAATAAATTTAAGAAGATCTTAAACAGATGCTACCACTCTGTTTTATCGACCGAGCGATTCTTTCTTTTTAAATAGGTTATTCTTTTTATTGGCAGTTTGTACATATAAAATAAGACCAGGACGGATTTGAAGAATATAAGTAAATGTTTAGATATCAATTTGGAAGCCTATAGTAAATGATAATAGCTCATCTATATGTGTGCACACATATGCACGAAAATGTAAGATGAGCTATCCTCGTTTACTAGGCTTTCAAATTGATATCTAAATGTTTAGATAACAATTTGGAAGCTTAGTAAACAAGAATAGCTCATCTTACATTTTCGTGCATATGTATGCACACACACATATGCACAAAAATGTATAAGATAAGCTATTCTCGTTTACTAAGCTTCCAAATTGACATCTAAACATTCACTTATATTTCTTTATCCAATGCCAAATTCATCCTGGCCTTATTTTCTATATATGTACAAACTGCCCCAATAACGTATTTAAAAAGAATAACTTATCTAAAAAAAAATCGCTCGGTCGATAAAACAGATCCGTTTAGGATCCCCTTAAATAATAATATTAAAATAACATGTATTAAAATATATATTTAATTTATAATAAAATAATAAATTCTCTTACAGTAAAATAAAAAAAAA